AGCCCAGAGTCAGGACAGCAGTGTGAGCACCCCTCCTCTCAAACACAGCCCTGGGATACAGCTCACCACTGCGACACCCCTGTTTAATATTTTGCCAACATCAGATATCTTCCTCAGGACAAGGCCTGGAATAGTCCGGTATTAGCCGGGGGATAGGGGCTGGAGAAGCAGGAAGTGTGTCCAGTGTCGATGAGCCAGAGCTTCTCTCCTGACGTCAACAGCAAGCGGCTTATTCTCAGTCCCAGCAGCTCCGGAGCTCCTGGAGGTCACATGGGGTGCCGGGAGTCACATGGGCGGCCCGGCCCCGCTGCCCCAGCGAGCACCCCGACGCGGCCCCTGCAGGGCAGGAGTGCCCCCGGAGAGCCCTTAACCTCAGCCTGACACTGCGGCTGAGCTGCAGGGTGATATGACTTGTGATCTGATTAAAACACGTATTTCACAGCCTCGTTTCAGTGAGCAAGGAGAGGCTACCTCCTTCGGTCAGCCAGCAGCCATATCACCCTGCAGCTCCCAGCTGGCAGCCCCACTGGAGCTCAGCAGTGTCAGCCTGGTCAGGACCTGGATGGGAGACTCCTGGGAAAGCTGAGGCTGCTGCTGGAAGAGGACCCCAGACTGACCCGCACGTACCTGCACCACGGTGATGCTGAGCCGCCCCACGGTGCCGATCGCCCCCCCGTACTGGAGCTGCTGCGCCGCCTGGGCGTCCAGCTGGATCTGCTGCTGCTGCTGGGTGGGCGTGATCCGCAGGAAGTCCTGGGGCAGCTCCCCGATGTACACCTGCGCACGCAGCCAGACGGGGCAGGGGCAGGGGCAGGGGAAGAGAGGGGTAGACAGAGTTACAAGGGAAAACGCAGATGGGTGGGACGGTGTACTTGGTCTCTGTAATGCAAACTGGTTCAGGTCAAGGTGCAACGCTCAATTGTTTCCCCCCGGAAACATCCTGCAAACATTCCTTCTTGAGACTCAATAATCACCCTCCAGAAAAATCAGCACTGAGCCGGAGCAGAAGCACCTACACAGCCACGCACAGCGCCCTGAGAGACACGGGCCCCCCGGGGAGCCCTCTGCAGGCTCGGGGCAGAGTCTCGAGCTCGAACGGCCCCTCCCAGCAGGGGGCGCTCACCGAGCCCCGCCACGACCGCGGAAACACCCGCAGCAGAGCAAAGCCTGACTGGATTCTCCACAGAGCGCTCCCGTGGGCGACGGGGGAGCCCTGTCCCTGCGCCCCCTCTGTGAGCCGCCCAGGTGAGGACCCACACTCCTCCTCCTCCCCGCCTGTCCCCCCCTGTCCCGTCCAGCCCGGGCGCCGCAGAGCGAGCCCGCCGGACAGACCGGGAAGAGCCCGGAGCTGCCCCAGGTCGGGTCGGGTCGGGCCGGGCCAGGGCCGCGCGGGACACAGGGCGCGGCAGCAGGCTGGGGGAGGGGCCACATTCCTGCCGGACCCGGCGCCGGGGGAGACCGCACCCCTCCGCACCCCTCTGACCGCAGGCGGAGCCCGGCAGGGAGCCAGGGCCCAGGAGCCCAGGGGCCGCTCCAGGCTGGGCAGGCAGGCGCACAGCACAGACCACAGCCCCGCCTGCGAAACCCATCCTGCTGCGTGTGGTTTTCCTCTCCGTTTCCTCAACAGCAGCGCGCGGAGACGGGGCGCAGACTGCAGCGAGAGGTCAGACCGGGGGCCCCCCCCCCCCC